ATACTAAATAAGAATAACTCTACTATTTTTTTATTTAATTAGAATATTTATCAAAAAACTATATAGAAAAGAAAAAATTTTGACTTGATTATAGAGGGTCAGTATTGGTTACTAGTTAGTCTAGAAGTAGTATTTTGAAGTTCTAGTATCTTCAAGGCTAGTGTATAGTCATGTTTGTATTACTATTTTGTTTTTAACCTAAGTCATCAACAAACCCATTTAGAAAGTAAACACTGCTAACTATTTTGGAAGTTATATATGTTGATTTTTAGGAGGAGGTAAACTGAAATGCTTACTTTTTATAAAATCCTCGAAGAAAAGTAAAGATAAGAGATGAACCAACTTTGTAGCTTTTGTGAGTCTTTAAACCTTTGCAGGTGTTCCTTATAGATTTTACAGTTGTATAGAACTAATATATTCAACTTTGTTGTTTATCTAAAAAAAAAACTTTTGCTTTTACAACTACTTCTTCTATAGTCCTAGAGTGCTTTAAACTGTCTCACAAAGCTATGACCTCTTTTTCAACTCTATTTTAATGTCTAGCTATGCAAGTACAGTACTCCAGAAATATTTTTTTTTGAAGGTTAATATATTAACTATATTGTTTTTCTATAGTTTAGCTTCTTGAAAAGTTGGTTCAAATAATTATCAGAAAGAGTTGTTGAATATATATAGTTTAATATAATATTTCTATATAATTATATTATTTTAAGTTTAGTATTAGTATTTTCTTTTAAGAATTTCTTTATTTTTTTTTTAAACTAAACTGAAAAAATTAAACAAATAAGATATTAGTATTTCTACAAATATCTAATGAATATGATACAAACTATACTAGAATAAGTAGATAATAATTTTTATATTCTTTAAAAAATTTAGTAGTAAATACTAATATATAAAATTTAGCAAAGAATTTTTTTAATTAGAATACTAAAAGCAGTTTTATATATAAAATTTAAATTATTTTCTGTTTTTTAAAAATTGCAATAATTTTACATTACATTTAATCTTTTATTTTAATTAGTTATATTACCTTAGTGCTATGATGCTATAGCACTACAAATTAAATCTCATATTTTTTTATAGTAATTACTTCATATTTTAAATTATTTGTTAATCATCAATAAATTTTTTTTTAGTAAATTGAATAAAATGAAATTTTTTTTTTTTTTTACATTTTTTTACATACTAAATTAATTTTTTTTAGCATACTCATATAATTTATTACTAGGTTTTATTATTAACTATTGAAATTAATACTACTATTAAGTTACTTAAATATGATAATACTTAAGTGAAAACTAATTTATAAACTAATTTTTAATATAAAAAAGTTACTAATCTAAACAAAATCTTTCTTATATTAAAAGCTCTTAGTTATAAAATTTTTAATTGTAATTTGTAAAGCTTTTCTTATATTGAGAATTTTTTATAGAATTACTTATAATATAAGCAACTAAATTATAAAGTGATTATTTTAAATTTCTATTAATAAATCAGATAATTTAAAATTATATATCTATTTAGATAAAATTTAAGCAACCTAGTTTATAATCAGGTTTATTATATATAAACTAGTTGATAACTTAGAAACCAAATTTATAATAAATACAATCTTTACTTGTATTATATTAAGAAGGCTATATACTTGTAACAATATAATAAATATATAATAAGTAATAAGTTTGTAAATAAGTAATCTGTAAATAATAAATAGCCAAAAATTTCTATAAACAATTTTAAATAATTTTAAAATAATAATATAAATAACTATATTTATCAATATTATCTATATAGTAGCTAATATTACTAGATCACTATTAGTGAATAATACTCTAGATGTAAGGGAACTGCTGAGCCACATTGCATAACGTACGTGTCGCACAACGAACGTGCTAGAAGTTCATGCAACGATCATATCGGAGATTCATAAAACAAAGGAACATCACGTGAACATGATGTAAGGTCGGAATCGTGTTAGTATTAGTCATTAGAAAGCGTAACGACTATGCGTTCAAATGTAGTCATAGTTAAGCAATTGTATTGTAAAATGCGATATAAAATGTGTAAAAAAAAGAAAGCTAATTAGGCTTTCGCTTGCAGTCTTTTTAATAAAGAAATAAACCCCAGTTTATTAGTTTTTGTATACAAATTCGTCCCAAACCTATCTACCCTTAATAGATACGGTTATACTAGATAAGAGATTAATAGTAGCTTCTAATATACATTATAATATCTAGTTATAATCAGCAAATATTTTATATTTTGTCAAGGTATAAGCAAGAATTTTTATCTTAAAATTATTATCAATACTAACAAAGATACTAAATGCTATTTTATATTTATTTGTCTTAACTGTATTGTTATATATTACAATATTATAATATATTAGCCAAAGCTCATTATGTTATTTGTTTGTTATCCAAAAAAGCTTAGTAAGTTTATTAGATGATCTTTCTAATTATATTGTAACAAAATACTCAGAATCCTTTTTACGTTTTTTCATTAAATATAGAAATATTGTAGCTACATCAGACTTATCATAAATTCTAATTTCACAGAACTTTTGAATTGCATTATACAGGTTTTTTTTTTTATATTATATTCAGAAAATTCTTTGAAAAAAAGATTGTATTGCTATCTAGTATTTAAATAACTATTAGTAGTGTAATACTTGATTTTCTCTAAAATTATTTGTAGAAACTACAGATTTTAGATGCTAACTCTATAGTTGTTAGATTATATTGATAATTGTAATTATTAATAATTTTGGTAAAGTATATATTAATTAAGTATTTTCTAAAATTAAAGCTTGCTTGCTATAAACAATTTATTTTGACTATAACATTATCATGATATAAAACAATATTCTCAACCTTCTTTGGATTATAAATACCAGCCTTCTAACATTTATATACATGATGACAAATAATAATTTTATTAATAATATCAAATTTTAAACAGTATTTGATTGTCACAAACCTATTTTCTTTTGCATATCTACTAACAACAATTTCAATTTCTTTCTAGTTATTAAAAGTATCATTTATATCTAATGTGATTCTATTTTCAACTATATTGATCTTATTCATGCTATTCACATCCTATATTGATGATTCATTTTGATCTTGAAACTATATGATCATATTCTTACTTAATACATTATTTACAAAAGATGTTGAAGACTCAGTTTGATCTTAAGACTCTATAATCAAATTGTAGTTTTCTACAAGAGATGTTGACGACTCATTTTGATTTTCAGACTCCATAATCAAATCGTAAATTAAATTTCTAATTAAAAGGATAGTAGGTAACAATACAAAAGGATGTTTAAAAGTTACTAAGTTGTTTAAGTTCTCTATATAGAGCAATTTAAGCAAAATTCAGGCAAGGTCGATTGCAAAAGAAAGTAACGTATATGAAAGAGTAAGGTGTATTTAAATGATAAAGTGATGTAAACAATATCATGTAATGATAACGAAATTATTAGTCATAAATTAAATTTTGTAGATTATGATCACCGTAAGCGATATAAAGTAATTCTATTAAAATAAACTATAGTTTGCTCAAATCGCCCATCGATCATTCTAGAATGCGATTTCCAAATTTGGTATATACTGGTTTGTAGCATTGACAAATAATACGTAAAATATTAAAATTATTTTGGAACTTGGAATTTAATTCTATAATAATATTTTATTAAAATAATAATAACTATCTGAACTTGAAAATGAAAATATATTCAAATTATATACATTCAATAATTAATTACAGTATAGATATTTTTTAAATACTTTGAGGAAATTTAAAAACATTATCAGGATCAAACTTCTTTTTTATATCGACTAACTTTGGAAAATTTGAACCATAATACCTTTTTTGCCAATTAACTAAATCTTTATCAATATAATTCTGATAACTACTAAAATCATTTTGAAAAGTAACACCAAATTTATTAATCTTATCAATACATCCTGTGTTTGTAATTGAATCACTATTCAATTCCATATATAATTGAATTCCGTATAATATATCTCTATGTACAAATGCAGTGGCATCCGGGGCAACTCTATTAATAGCGCCACCAAATAGATCAAATTCAGCAAAAGTTGGACAATCACTAGGAAGTTCCGACATAAACTTTTGAAGTGATTTAATAGCATCAGATGAAAGTCCAGGTGATTTTACAAGGAATGATTTTGCTTTAAAGTCATTAGGATGATGTGTTGGATTTATTGTACCTTGAGTACCTTCAAAACCCCATCTTACAACACTTGAAAAAAAAGATTCTTCAATAAACTTGGTCGAAGAAGGGTTTGAAGATGAAATGAAATTTTTCATAACTTCTTTAGCATTTTTTTGAGATCCTAGATAAACACCATTAAGTTCTAAAGATTCTGGAGAAAAAACTATGCTTAATGTTACATCATCTGGTAGGTTGAGACCAAATTTGTTGATTGTATCTAAAAGTTTTTGAATATTAGATACTTCGTATTGGAACGAGAGGGAGGTGACATTAGGAGGGGTAGGATGAAGTTGAAAGGTAAATGAAGTTACTATTCCATAATTATTACCACCAGCACCTCTAAGAGCAAAGAATAAATCTTCATTTTTATTTGCGTTAGCTGTAATCAATAATCCATCAGCTTTAATCATATCAATAGAAAGAATGTTATCCGAAGCAACGCTAAATTTTCTTGAATAAAGCCCAAATCCCTATAATAATAAAAAGTTTAAGAAATTGTTATTATAATCATTTAATGATAAATAATGAAATATAAATAAGGGGAGAAGTACTCACACCACCTAACGCGTGACCACCTATTCCGACACTAGGGCAGGATCCAGCCGGAATCAAAAAACCAGCTTGACTTAAACTGTTATAAATAGTG